TTCGAACGAACGTGACCTAATTTTACAAAATGGACACAAATTAAAGGGTTCAGGAGTCTTTATCCGAAAGGACCTACCGTTGGCAGACCGTGTTAAAAGACGGGAAGCCGAGAAAGAACTACAACATAGGTTAGACGCTGGCGAAAAGGACCTGAAAATTGTAAATTTTCGGGTTGTAAGACTTCGACAGAGAATGATGCCGAAGCCACTCTGGGTGAAGCACGAAGGCACTTAAACAGGCTTCGGATCTGTTACACCAATGCACGAAGCTTACTTAATAAGCGATCGGAACTAGGTGTACAGATTGACTCTACAAAGCCAGATATAATCGCAGTAACAGAAACCTGGCTGACACAGGCTATAGATAGTATAGAACTTGATTTCGAGGGCTTTACGTTAGTAAGGGCCGACAGAACACAAAAGCGCAAAGGAGGGGGAGTAGCTCTATTCATTAGGAATGCTATCCCATTTGCCATTATCGATAGTGTATCCCATGAGAGTGGGACGTGTGAATTAGTTAGTCTTCGCTTAAAATGCAAGGGACAAGAGCTGCTGATTGGTTTGGTCTATCGCAGTCCAAGCTGTGAGGCAAATGAGATCCTGTTAAGCAGTCTCAATACTTGGTCCCAAAGTGGTCGATGTCTAATCCTAGGGGACTTTAATGCACCTATGGTAGACTGGGAAAATCTGCGAACTAAATCGTCGGAGAATTCTTTCGAGCAGGAACTAGTTGATGCGGTTATCACATGTGCTCTAGTGCAACATGTGAAAGAAGCGACAAGGTACGATCCGGACACTGAATCATCCTTATTAGATCTTATACTGACTCACTATGAGGATGATGTTGCGAACCTCCATCATATGCCACCCTTAGGTAAAAGTGACCACGCAGTTTTAACTTTCGACTTCCATATAACTGCCAGTCATGAGGACGCGTCAGTCCAGTCCAGACCCAACGTCTGGAAAGCAAACATACCAGACATCATGCACTCAGCATCGTTAATAGATTGGACAATAGACCCAGAGTCCTCCATTGAAACGGCCTGGGACGCATTTCGAAATTCATACTTAAAAGTTACCACACCTCACATCCCTTGGACTATACCAAAGGGGCCGAAAAACTCACCACCATGGTTCAGTAGGGAGGTCCGTATCCTTCTCCGTAAGAAAAGGAAAATGTGGGATAGATTTAGGTTACTGGGGACTGATGAGTCAAAATCTCAGTATCGAAAGGCTCGGAACACTTGTGCCTCGACCCTCCGTAAGTCTAGAAAATTGTACGAAGAAAAAATTGTTAAGGAATCCATAGAATGTCCTAAACGCTTGTATTCCTATATAAACCAAAGGACAAGGAGAAAAGGAAATATTCCTGCTCTATGGGGAGACAGTACTGCTTCATCATTAGTGGAGGACGACTTTGGTAAGGCTCAAGCGTTCTCGAACTACTTTAGCAACGTATATACCATAGAAGCGCCCTTCTCGTCAGCGTATACAGATCCCCCCATACATACACTGGATAGCGTGACCATTAAAGAACTCGATGTCTTTGGTCTGCTAAATAAGCTTGACATAGGTAAATCCACGGGGCCCGATGAATTACATCCTAGGCTACTGAAGGAATTATCTAACTTCGTTGCAAGCCCTTTAAGTACATGCTTTAACCTATCCGTTACGCAGGGTCGCTTACCGAAAGATTGGAAAAACGCCATAGTAAGTCCTGTCTTCAAAACAGGCACGAAACACAAACCTGAGAACTACCGCCCCGTTAGCCTAACTAGTGTGGTTGTTAAAATCTTAGAAAAGATTATTCGGAAGGAGCTGTTTAAGTATCTCGATAAAAACCGGATCCTCTCGGAGAAGCAGCACGGCTTCAGAATAGGTTATTCTTGTCTCACTAACTTATTAGTGGCTCGTGAAAGCTGGTGCGCTCTTAAGGACCAAAAGCTACCTGTAGACGTCGCCTTCATTGATTTCAGTAAAGCTTTTGATAAAGTTCCGCACAACCGGCTGTTATATAAGTTAAGAAAAGTCGGGATTGGAGGCAATTTATTGATGTGGATAAAAGACTTCTTAGTTGGGCGTCAACAAAGAGTAAGGGTGAACTCAAAGTTATCTAGCTGGGAAACTGTGCTTAGTGGAGTGCCCCAGGGTACAGTTTTGGGGCCAGTGCTATTCCTCTTGTATGTAAATGACCTTCCTTGTCTCCTATCATCATCGGTCTTGCTATATGCTGACGATGTCAAGATATGGAGAACGATACGATGTAAGAGTGATAGCTTAGAACTTCAAAATGACCTGAAGAAGTTATCTGAATGGTCTCAAACATGGCAGTTGCCGATAAATACTTCCAAGTGTGTTGTGATGCATATCGGTCATCAAGGCACAGATACATACACGATGAATAACACTGAGCTACCTGTCGTCCAGACATATAATGACTTAGGAGTTATCGTTAGTCAAGACTTAAAGACTACTGCACACTGCCGTGCAATAGCCGCCAAAGGTTTTAGAACGTTATGGTCAATACGTAGGGCTTTTAGTCATGTCGACGCTAAGACGTTTTTGACTTTGTATACAGTGTTCGTTCGTCCTAAACTTGAGTACTGCATACAAGCGGCTAGCCCCTGCTTAAAAAAGACAGTGAGCTTCTGGAAAAGGTTCAGAGAACGGCGACTAAGCTGGTTCCCGGAATAGCGAAGCTTCCGTATGAATCTCGACTGGCCAAGCTGAACCTTTTCCCGTTGTCATATCGCAGAACTAGAGGCGACTTGATTACAGTCTACAAATTGCTTAGTGATAAATTTGCACCTAACATGCCCTCATTTTTCTTGTCTTCCAAAACAGAGAATTTACGAGGACACTCCAAAAAAGTTCATAAGCCGAGAACAAATTACTTGTCAGCTGACTATCGACTTTCCCATCGAATCATCAACGAGTGGAATTCACTACCTCAGCACGTGGTTGAGGCTCCATCCGTCGACTCTTTCAAAAGAAAGTTGGATCAACTGAGAGACCACCATTGCCAGGACTAACATAGGCCATCGAGCCTCCTGTCCTTCCCAAACTGAAATTGAAACTGAAACGACCCTGAATGCCTGATATAAGGCGACATTTCGAAATTCAACTACCGTAAGCTTGTGGCAGCGCTCCAGAGGTATCGCGACACTTTTTTGCGCTACTTTTTTATTTCTGCTTTAATCACAACCAAATTTTGAAATTAATTACGAATAAATTTGAAAGTCTATTTTCCGTTTTCATAATTAAGTGAAAAGGGGATTTTCCATTTTGCGTTACATGGTATCGAGAAGTCCTTGAAAATTCATTATTCAGGTGCTGCTATGATAGTTTTTTCGTGTTTGCATCGCAGACTAGCAATAATTTCTACTAAGGTATACACTTATGGTGAACAAATCCTTTAATTTTATATGAAATAGCATGATTCAGGCATTCGTCGTCATAAAAATTGTATTGTCGTCAAGGCTACCAAAACTGCGTTACAACTAACGATACCATGGTAAGATTTATCGTTTTTCCCGTCTTTATCACAATTTCGGCTGATTTTCATGTTTTTTCGACTTTCATGGCAGAAATAGGTTGATAGTGAAAACATTAGGTGTATCGAGTGTTGTAAATATTATGTATATGCTATAGATGATAATAACACATACCAAGCCCAGACAACCCAAAAAGCGGAAATAAAGGCGAAGAAAGGGAAATAAAGGGGTTAATGCTTCGGTAGCGAAAGGGGAAATAAAGGGGAAAACGCATCAGAATTTCGCCTTTTTCGCCTGTCCGGGGGAAATAATGCGGATTTTCCCCTTTTTCGCCTTTTTGTCGACAAATTACCGAGTTATCGCCTAAATATCCGCCGAATTGCCGCATTTTCGCCTAAATATCCGCTGAATTGCCGCATTTTCGCCTAAATATCCGCCGAATCGCCGCATTTTGCCTAAATATCCGCCGAATAGCCGCATTTTCGCCTAAATATCCGCCGAATTGCCGCATTTTCGCCTAAATATCCGCCGAATTGCCGCATTTTCGCCTAAATATCCGCCGAATTGTCGCATTTTCGCCTAAATATCCGCCGAATTGCCTACTTATGCGCTTAATTGTCTACTTTTAGCCTAAATACACACATTACCTTCTATTGTCTATCCATCGACAGAACCTTAAAGGTCTCCTATGTCCGCCTTTATTTGCAACAACATACCGAAGTATATCAGCAATGCAGTGGAAAAGCAGTAAATATTTTAAAAATTTTATTTAAAAAGAAAAGCGTATTATTGTACAACAGTAAAGCACAAGCTTAAGCATCGATTGTTATGCATATCCAATGCAATTGCTAATTCATTGTTATTTGTAATTATCTGAAAAACAAGGAACAGGTTATATTTTATTCATAGGGAATGTGCATTTAATCAAAAGTTCACTGAAACTCAGACACACATTCTCAACACTTCAACAGTTTCCCATGTAAGTAAAAGAGTAAGCTGTTTGAAAGAATAATGTTTATTGAAATCGAGGTAGAACAACAAAAAAATTGCACGGACTACTCAGAATTGAGGTAGTTTTCCTGTGAAATCTGAAATAAAAAAACGAACAAAAAAAGTCACAACCATATCTCAATGACATGCTTTTGCACAGCTAAATACTTGAAGCTGAACTTACGGTTATGTTCGTTAGTATTGTTGACTGTAACTATAGAGCCGTAGGGAAGTTATCACTTTAAATTAGTACATACCGGATTTTCTTTTTTTCTATTTCGTTTAATCATCTTGTCTCGGATGTCGTGAAAGTAACCTTGTGTCGCTATGTCGTACAGCTTACCAAGGTCTTTCTCGTTGACAGAGGATGACAAAAAGCGATGAGTTAAGGCACCTGAAGTTTAAGTAATAGATATAGGTTACTTCGTATGCAGCTGTAAAACGTGCATTTCTGTAGTGCTCGTTTTGAAGAGGTGCCAAGTAACGTGAATTTACTGGCAACCTCCGGTGTCAGCAGATGCGACAGAACAAAACGCATGAACTTGGGTTGAACACATGGACATGTCTTCAAAACGCCTCTGATGCTTTTCGGTATGTCCGGGATAAGAAATCTTAGACCATACAGAACCCGATCAGCATCTTTTATGCTCAGTGATGTATTTGACATTAGATACATCATAAAGTCGTTCATCTGTTCTTTGCGATTCACAAACTTTGTAGAGCACAAGTTCACTTCAGTACATCCTATAAGATATATATTCACGTACGAATTTAATGTTCATACCACTATTAGCTGGAAGCCTTTGATTGATGTTGCTAGTGGACGGTGTACTAATCGAAGTACTTTCATTACAACTGACTTCTCTCTTTACTTCTATCAATTAAGTAAACAACATTGTTAAACTCAGTTACCTTTTACGGTGCTTTCATTAGCAAACTCACTGACCGAAGGAAAGTGATATTTTTTCATTAAAGCAGCTCTCATTTTATTCCACCTCCGATTATAAGTGGTTCTGTGACAACCAAGGGAACGTGACAAGTTCACAGTTGCCCTACGTCTACGAACATTCTCACTGATATCAGAAAAAGTCATATTATTGGCCTAAGAAGGTAATCAGTCACAATAAACCTAAAGTCCTGAGAGCACGTCACTCACCTGCATCACGTAAGTTTTTTGTGATGGCTCCAAAGCATGTCGGAACACTTTAACTAAACAACAAACGAAGTCAGTCTATATGCGTATCAACCGAAAGCCTGATTCCGTATTTTGTACATTGTTTTTATGAAAATACTTTTGTTTTTTTAATTTGCGGTGAATAAATTTGTCGAAGTTTATGAAAACTTCAGTTCCAGATGCGGTTCATTCAAACACTGTACGTTACGTAGAACTGTCGACAAATTTCCCCCAAATACACGACGTAAGGGGGAAAAAGCGACATTTCCCCTAAATAACCGACGTAAAGGCGAAAAAGCGATATTTCCCCTTTCGTCCGCTTTATTTCCCCTTTTTTCCCCTTTATGTGTTGCTTGGGAGATGTTAATATCATCTTCTACAGTTAGATATATTAGCCACTAGATGATTATATTGCAAGAAATAAATCATAATCATGCGGAAGAGGTATAATGTGGAGATTTTACCAGAGACCAAGCTAAGATAGCATTACTACCTCTTGTGTAGGTCTACACAAGTATTTGGCTGTACCAAAGCATGTCATTGAGATATGGTTGTGATTTTTTTTTCTTTTTTTTTAATTCAGAATTCACGGGACGACTACCTCAATTCTCAATAGCCGTGCAATTGTTTTGATGTCCTACCTACATTTCAATAAACATTATTTTTCAAACAGCTTACTTTTTTACTTACATGGAAAACTGTAGAAGTGTTGGGAATGTGTGTTTGAGTGTCAGTGAACTTTTGATTAAATAAATCACCTGTTTCTTCTTTTGCAGATAATTTCAAGTAACAATGAATTAGCAATTGCATTGGATATGCAAAACAATCGATGCCTAAGCTTCTGCTCTAGTGTTGTACAATAATACGCTTTACCTTTTAAATAAAATTTTTCAAAAATATGCCGGTTTTCCACTGCATTGCAGATTTATTTTGGTTTGTTGTTGAAAATAAAGGCGAACATAGGAGACCTTTGGGGTCATGTCAATGGATGGAAAATAGGGAGTTCTGTGTGTATTTAGGCGAAAATTCGACAATTCTGCGGATATTTAGGCGAAAAGTGAGTAATTTATCGACAAAACGGCGAAAAAAGGGGGAAATCCACATTATTTCCCCCCGGACAGGCGAAAAAGGCGACATTCTGATGCGTTTTCCCCTTTCGTTACCAAAGCATTTACCCCTTTATTTCCCCTTTTTGGGTTGTCTGGGGAGCTACAATGTTTTGGCTGCCGGTATTATTGCAAAAATACCTAATAACAGAAATAAGTACTGATATAAAGCTGTCACGAGAAAGCACTGAAAAGTACGATTCGATAGTCAAGATATCTTGATCCAAGATGACCAGATTGTGTGAGATCCTATGTGATGATCTTCGGAAATCAACCAAGGCCTGTCTAGCTTACGTGCTGATGCCGTAAATGACAATTACTTATACAACCTGTCCAAATAATTAAATAATACAGGCCATGTATGTTGCGATCCAGGCAAATAAGCGTGATTGACTATCCAAAGGAAGGGTGTGCTAAATGCACTTTCGATTTGTAATTGAATACTGGTTTCCGTTCTTATATTAGTTTCTGGTAAACATTTATACTGAAATAACTTTCCTGTCTATCTTATTTCCAGGTAGCTTCACAAGCGTTCACAAACATAACGGGAACAATTCCTGAGAAATAGAAGTTATTTATTAATGGATCATTTGTGCTAGATTCAAACTTTAATAAACGTTTTCATTTATAACGCACCAGCCTTTTAATTACGGCAATTCTTATCTATCGTGACAGGTCGAAATTCGAACTACTAGTATGGTACACCATGTTCAAGGTAGCAGTATTTGGTAAACGGTATGTATGACTAATCGCGTGTGCGCCAAACTGGTAATTATTACACAAGAACGCGAAACAACATCCCTGTCTCACAGCCACATAAGACTGCACAGTACACTCCCTGTCGTTACGCTATAAGAATAAGTCAATGGCCATATAAATGAATTTATGTAAAACTAAAACGATTACAAAATTAGAACTTCTTGTTATCAAGAAGCATAGCTATGGTCTGTATTAACAATGGATTCTGACGTTGTAGCTTTATCATTAGCACCGATTGAACTCATCAGTTGTGCGCACATGTCTTCCGATGCTTCGAGGCATGAACGGATGAGTTTACTTGCCAAAGGTTCACTAAGAGCATGGATTGAATGGTAGTTGCTAGTGAACTTCTCTAGCAGATCATCACTCCCTGTAGAGATTGAGATGTTGTCCAGCGCACGAAGAACCAGGTCTATTATGTATTTTCTTGTCCACCGGTTGCTATGTCGAAATACGTCTACAAAACTTATAGAGATAAAGGAATACACATACAAAATATGACCACAGGGCAGCATGTAGTCATTGAAACGCTCACAAGCACATCGTCCCCGTGAAGTATCAACAACATACATCATACCCTTGTCGTAGCACCGGATGTATTCTCCTTCTATAAATTCGTGTCTCATTGTCCGAACACGTTTATAATTTACGGCTACAATTTTAGCTGCAAAAGATGTGAACTCATTTAGAAGAGTTCGAAGTGACATTGGAACCTGGAATTAGTGATACATTTAACTATATTTCTTACCTGAAGAATTGGAAAACGTTGAAGATCCTTCACAGCGTCATAAGGACGCAAACGTAGGTCAATGTCTGTTTTACTCCAAATTTTCCAAAACGTCAATAGCAGGGAATCACCTCTTCTGAGACATTCTTTTAGGTGTTTATGAGCACTTTCGACACGGTTGTTTGTGTGGTTGCCTAGGCTTAATACATGTCGCCGGTAACAGCAAGCCCACATTGACTTCCTGGCAATCCAGTAATCTTTTATGTAATCATACGCCCGTGGGAAATGCGTCCTTAGATGTTCGTACTTTCGAGTAAGTCTGAATATAATGCGTTATGAAAAGCGAAGCTCACATATCAGACCGTCTAGTCTTCACAAAGTGTTCCAAGCATTTGCGCACATCAGGATTTCGGAACTACAGAAAATAATTTGTACAGCTAACACATACCTTCCTGAAAAACGCTCTCAGGACATGGAATGAACAAAGTATTATGTTAGAATGACTGTGCGTAGACTGCACAGCCGAAATTTCGGTCGCTGCCGAATCCATAATGAAAGTGCGTGTAGCATAAGTACCGCACATTATCTCTTTAAAACATTCCAATAGTTTTTCGACATCTTCGCGTCGTGCTTGACTGCAAAGAGCATACATAACAGTGTGCCCTTGCCCAAGACTATCAGTCACCACTAGCTGGAACAGTGGAAAACTTTCAGATAAATTTATTACTAATCGTTACTTACCCGACTTTATTGGTCTGATAAGTCGAATCAATACATATTACCTCCGGGAACGCGTGGTAAACAGCTATTTGCTCTCTGCGCCTGAAGCAAATCATAGACATGTTCCCATTTTCATTGAATACTTTAACTTCAGTATTTGCTTGAACGCGCTGTAAAATGTCATTGATATTTTCAGTGTCTAAACTCAATTAATTACAATGTAAATTCAAAAACCTGGGTACAACTGTGAATGCATTCTGGCGATATCGTCCTTGGTAAGCTGTTTATTGAACTTCCAAGAAACCAGATACCGTAAGCTACGAGTTGGTGTATTACTCAGTAGAAACGTTCTTAAATACAAGCGTTCACTTGAGGTCAACTGTCGTTTCGATGGATCGACAGAAATATATCCTTCTGTGCAAGGATGGTTGTGCACGGTTTTAATAGAGGTGAGTTTCAACTCACCATTTACTGCCCGGACCCAAAATCCTGATCGACAATGGCAATATTTCGACCTGAAGGATAAATTCATTTGAAGTAAGGCATACGTAGATGACCGACGTCGTCTCCTTTGCCTAGGTTGTGTTGGCGAGTTAGAAGTTGTATGCTCTTCAGAAGTGATTATTACTATCAGCATCTACATCCTGAACGCAAGCATCTGACTCTGACGAACTGCGTTTACGTCCATATGTCAGTCAGCTACAACGTAGGACCAGGCACATGTATGCACCGGCCCAGGTTGCCATACCTCATTAGCACAGCAAGATGAACACCGGATTCATAGGAGTGGTTAGGTCAAAGGTGGTAATATATAGGAGAAAGATTGCAATAAGGATATAGTATAGGAAGAAAGAATTAGTTCGTAGAAAGAAAGATGTGAAGTGATCTTAATCTCTTAGTTTAAGGGGTGACAGGGAGTGTATACACCTACGCCATTGTGATCGATTCTGAGCCATGTCACGAAGAGTCTCCAACCATTGGTTACGAAAGTCACGCGGACCCCAAACAAGTAGTCTGAATCCACAAACATGCCTCAGACTAGAAGTTAGTGGACTACCCCCCATTGACGTAACAAGGTACTATAGATGCTTTGAAGACTGTACAACACAAAGGACGTTATTACAGAAATATATTAGTTAAAGTAGATACAAGCGAAAGTAAGACCACTGCTGCATGGGCCAGTCCATGGCATACCATTAACTAATGCGTGTTGGTTGTACATGACCTTGGCAGGGAGCGACGATCTGTTCGAGATTCAGTGATCCAACTGCCGGATGATTTGGCTAGGGATCAGTGACATTTCACTGGCCCTACAATACTCCCCCACCAGATTCAGCAGTCGCGCGCCGGAGGGTGCCAAACTAATATTATAAATTCTCCAGGTATTGCTTATCTGTAAAACAAATGGAAAGGAGGCGGCAGAAACTGGTCGAGAAACAGCGAGTCATAATATGTTAGTAGGACGTTGTTTAAAAGTAAATTGATTAGCCATAGAAATAATGAAAAGAACAAAACGTTTTATTGTTCTATCAAGTCGCGCTGAAATATATAGCCTTAACAAGTAATTCAGTTCCTCCGACGACAAACGTTAAGTCTGCCGCAAGAGTAATGATGCTATAGCGATAGTAGGATAAGTGTATTATCAATCGATGTCCATATTTGTACTGTCATTAGTTTAAAGTTGTAAGTCGGACAGTGTCGTTGACAGCTATTAAT